AAATTTAAAATTTATAAATATAAAACTTGATTTTAATTTAAAAAGTAATTATTTTTGAAAATATATAATAATAATTAAATATTAAAGTAATTATATAAAAGAAAATACTTATATATATAAAGATATAATATTTTCTTTAATTTTTCAGATATAAATTTAAATTTTATTATTATTATTATTATTATTAAAATATTATTAATTCTTTATGATATTTTTTTATTAATTTAATACTAAAATATTATAATAGTTTTTTTCATACTTTTATTATAAAGAATAAGAAATATTTAGATCACTAATAAAATTAAATATAAATTAGATATTAAACTTATGAAAATAATTATTTTTAATAAAGAAGAGAAAATATTATTAATGTGTAATTTTTCAGGTTACAACTGTTAAACGCAGTATCAGAGATTTGACTTTTTTATAGTTTACATATAATTATAATTTATTTTTATATTAATCTTAGTTATTTTATTATTAGTTTTATCAAGTTAGGATATGTTTACTAAATGCAAGCAATTTTAATCATAGGTTGAAGTTTTTATAATAATCACAAAGAATTTATAATATAAAATAATGAATACTTTATTAAAGAAAAGAGAAATATAAGATAATAAAATATGAATAAAAAAATAAAAATAAGCTAGAGAAATACATAAAATAAAGAGTAATATTGTGTTATTTTTTACAAGAGAGAGATTTCTATACAGTTATTGATCTATCTTTTCTAACTTACAGAAGAACTTATATTTATATCTATTTTACTACATATATTGATATATCAAATATATTAACTATATTAACTATATTAGAAATATTTGATATATTAAATATATTAATTATATTAAACATGTTAAACATATTTATTATATTTGCCATTTCTGACATTATGTGTTTCATCACATATTTATAGATCTTTAATCATTAAGATTATCATCTGGTCACAATATAAAGAAGCTAATAAAATGTAATATAATATCTGATAAATATAAAATATAAAAAGATTATATATATACTTTGTCTTATATTTAATTAATAAATTAGAAAAAATGAAAAATAAATAAAATAATTATATAAAAGTCTATGAATAAAATTAAAGTATTATTAATATTTAAAAGTTAATAACTTAAAAAAATAAGAATATAAAAATTAAAAATTTATAATTTTAATTTGATATAATAGATATTTCTTGATATTATTTTTGGATTTTATTATCTTATATTAATAGAATTTAAAAATTTATGAAAATGAGACTTAAAATTTAATATGAATTATTTGCAATTATTTTTTTGTTAAATATAAATAATAATATTTTGATTAATAATAAATAAATATAATCTATTTTTACTATGAGAATAATTATTAATAATATATTTTCTATTAAAAAATGTCAAAAAAATTTTTATATATTATTTAAATCAGAAAAATTATATATTTTTTTAAATTTAATTTAAAAAATTTCAAAATTTTATTAATATAAAAATAAAATAAACATAATAGTCAGATTTATATGTTTTATTATTTAGTAAATTTTATAAAAATTTTTTATCCTAAAATTATACTTTTTTTTATCTAAAAATGCTATTTTTATAATCTACAGATTAATCAGTTAGCAAAAATTATGTAATTATAAATAATATAATAAAAGTTATTTAAATACTTTTAATCTTATTTTAATTTAATTTAAAAGTACTAAATGTAGAATAAATTTTATTTATTATATTTTATTAATCTTAATATTAATGAAAATTATAAATTTATTATTTTTTTTTTAAATGTATTATTAAAAAGTTATTTTATTATTTTATTATTTAGTTTTTTACTCTTTATATATTTTTACAATCAGTAATTCTATTATAATATAAAAGATCATCAAAGAAAAATTATAACATAGTAGAAGATAATCTATAAATAATTTATATAATTAAGATATGTAATACAGCAAATAATTTATAAATAATTAGTGCAATATAAATGATTTATAAAAATTAGCAAATAAATAATCAACTTAAATGTGATATAGGTATTAAATAAATTAATCAATAAAGAAAAATAATAATATTATTAACAATAATAATATATATAATAAATCTAAATTAAGAATATCAAGAAGGAAGAAAAAAGTTAAAGAAATAAATGAAATAATTAATTAATAATCAAATAATAATAATATATTAATATAATAATTAGAATATTGTTTAGCTATAATTATAAGATTATTTCAAAATAATTAATAATAATTATTTTATTTTAATATGAATTTTACAGAAAAATGAGATAATTATTACATAATTCTTTAATAATAAAATAATAATTAATATAAAAATTTTATTATAAATAGTTTCAAAAAATTATTATATAAAAAGTAACTTTTTAGAAAATAAATTTATTTAGATATAAATTATAATTTTTGAGAAGTTGCTTCTTATTTGTTGTTAATAAAGTAATTTTGAAATAAATAATCTTTTGAACATATTTATTTTATTTATTGATGATAAAGTAACTTTATAACAGATAAATCTTTAAAAGTATTTCATAAAGAATAAAAGAAGTAATCTCTTTATTAGTTATTATATAATAATTGAATATAATGAGAATATATTTTTGATTATTTTGAGAAGTATTTTAATAAGTTAGAAAATCTTTATATTTTTTGGCTTAAAGATTTAGATTATGAATAAATACTAAAATAAGATTTAAAAAAAAGAACATAATGCTTTTTTTGACTTGTAAAAAATGTATTTAATTAAAACTTTCTTAAATTAATACGAGTTTAAGCTAAACTTAATTGTTACCAATAAGTTACGTTTTTCAGTCTGCCTAGTACATGATCTCTTAATCATGTGCAAGAATTGGATTCTGATTGGCTAATTTGTTGGATTCATATTTAGAAAGATCAATATCGCAAAAATCTCGTGTTTTTTATCTAATCCGTACTTTCTTGGTAATATCCGACCTGTAATCGGGTATATAACGCTACGTCTTCGCAAAAAAATTTTTTTTTTTTACCACTTTCCTGTTTTCTTCTTCCTTTCTCTTTTTCTTTTCCTTTCCTTTCCTGTTCTTCCTCTCTTTCTCCTTCCTTTCGCTTTCGCAAGCACATTCTGTTTTTGTGTCACCTCTCTTTTAGAAACCTTTAACTTTATTTCCCATGTATAAAACTTTTTCTTTCACAATAGTTCTTTGAAAAACAGCCGTAAAAGGTCTACTGGTTCTGGAGGAGGTTCCGGTTATGTGCCTTCCTTTTACGGTCTCTGAGCTTCACCAGATAGAAACTGGCTAAACTACCAGATAGAAACTGGTTACCAAACTTCCAGAAGAGATAACTGGGAACCAAACGCCCAAGAGGAGAGAACTAGGAATAACAAACCGCCAAGTGGGAAAACTTGAACATGAAAGAAAATAAATGAAAGAGGGAATAAAAAAATATATATATATATAAATTAGATAGAAACCCAAAGGCTCTTCTCTCCATGCATCGTTGGAAGTGTTGGTTTAGATAGACAAAGAACTTTGCTTGGTGTAGAGAGCTCAGTTTTTTGGGGGGTTTGTGATTAGTACTGACGTCCTTGTCGTGCAACCTGGGTACTAGTTACTAGTAGTGAACAAGTACTAATTTTAATTCAGGTAGTTTTTCGGTTTCGGTTTAGGTTTTTGAATTTTGTGAGCTCTTATATCTTGTAGTTGTAATTTGTTTTTTTGTTCAAATAATAATAAATTTTTTGCCATTTTTAACATGAAATAATGAGTTTTTTTTTTTTTTTTAATTGCTCTTGTAAAATTAAAAGTTATACGTATGCAATAAATTGCAGACAATTGAATTTTAAAATATATACATATACCTTTTTTTCAGGAGGTATCTGAGTTATCTTACATACCCGAATCTATTTCGCAATTTATAGCTGAGTTGATGTTAATCGCGTTCTTTTTTTTTCTTTCTTATTATAGATTTATTTGAATCGAATAATTTTGAAAAATAATTTTCGAATAGTGGCAAAGCTTATTCGAATACTCGAATTGTTCGAATGATTCTTTTCGTGATTCTAAAAAATATCGGTACGTTTATAAATAAATCTAAAAAAGCATTCGAAAATATTACCTAATTCACATTGATATTTTTTTACTGGTTAAATTTTCCGAAAAAAAATTATCAATGTTGCATAAACAATTTTATTAATTATCTCATGGATTCCTAATTAACGCCGTTGATTTTTTTGAGTTTATTTGAGCTTATAATTAGAAATTCCCTGAGATAAGTACTAGTTATTTCCTCGATCTCATTACTTATCACGGCGTAGCCGTGATAAGTAATGATATCTATGGATTCCCGTGAAATAACTAGTACATGTTCACCGATTACTGCGCCTAATAATAGCATATTAACTAAGATCAAGTTGTAATAAAAAAAAAATTTTTTATATTTTCTACATCATTAATTGTTGTATAGGAACTAAAATCCATTATTACATATATTTGACATCTTTGTAATTATAAACGCTTATCATTATTATTGACTAAAACAGGTAATAAGAAAGAAATCTAAATTATAGATAGAGATCAAGTCAAAAATGGTAATTATTTGGGTATTACTGCCACAGTTTGTCAATTTTCAAAAAAAAATTTCGAAGATAGCGAAATCCCACTGCTAAATTTACCATAATCATTTTCATTTTGTCAACTTTCCGTATCTAGGTATCCCAACATAATGATGATAATATTTATTTCGAGGAAAAAGTAGTTTTTATAAGTACAAGTATTTTCATATTATGACGCAGAAGTGGATAAATTGCCTATGCATCGTATGAGTGATGTAAACATTATTCATTAATGATCTCATTACATGCAATAAATTCGGCTTCTATAAAAAATCAGTTCGATAATTTTTTTTCGCTTTTTGTTTTTTTTTTTTTTTTTTTTGATTTACTTATTATTTTGTTTACTTAATTAATTATTTAATTAATTAACTCTTTTTTTTTTTTTCCTTTCAAGAGAAATTCATGGCACATATATTTGTATTAGCAAATCGATTTTATTCAACAAAATTTCAAAGTCATCCTTCAATAACGTTAGCATTCACAAACGCAGGTTTAGCTGCAACTTCGGACATATTAGCGCAATTAATAACATTACATCGACCCCCAAAATCTCAAAGCGAAACTTCACATCAACCATTTGATTTCATTCGTTTAGGAAGGTTTACAACTTATGGATTTTCAATTGCACCGATAATTCATACATGGTTTACATTCCTTGATAAAAGATTTCCTTTTAATAATAATGATATACGACCATCATCAACACAAAAACGTTTGTTTAATAAAAAGAATTTAATAGGGCAAAATCAAATGGTTTTGAAAAGGGTTCTGTTGGATCAAATTGGTTTTGCACCTTTTGGATTATTTTTATTTTTTGGTAGTATTGGAATATTGGAAGGTAAAGATTTTAAGGGGATTAAACAAAAATTTGAAGAGGTATCTATCTATTTATAATATTGATTTTTTATTTTATTTTATTTTTTTTTATTTTTATTTTAAAACTTTATTTTCCCTTTTCGTAAATAATTTTTTTTTTTTTAGGCCTATCTTCCCGCTTTAAAAGCAAACTATACGGTATGGCCTTTAGTTCAATTTGTCAACTTCAAATTTTTACCATTAAGGTATAGAGTTCCTTTTGTTAGCTCCGTAGGTGTTTTATGGACCGCTTATCTTAGTTTATTAAATAGCACGACTACAAATTAATTCTACTTTTGGGGAAAGTATTATATATATGTACTTTTTTATTTTTTTAAAAAAAAAAAAATTATATAAATCTGAATTTCTATATAAATCTTTAAATAATATATTCTTTCTGATTTTGTAATTAATTGATAATTTAAAATCGTTTGGTAAAAAAAGTGTGCCATATATTAAAAGTTTCGTTTCGTAAGGTTCGAAGATTTTGATTGAATGTCTTAATAACAATTATTTAAAAAACATTAAAAATAAACCAATTAGAAAATAACGATGATTTAATATTGATCTATCTATAAAATTTTTTAATAAATGAAATTATAAACGCATTTTAGAAATACGGCTATAAATAATCGTTCGTCAATCACGTGATATAAATTTTATTCGCTATTAACTTGGTCAAAAACATTATCATTAGATAAATCCCATCTAATAAATAAATCAACTAATTTATGTTAGATTTATATATGTTAAAAAATTATTAGATCCTTTAAATGATTTAAATGATTTGATAATATATAATAAATACAGCTGTACATAAAACTATGTACGTAACTATTAGATAACAATACAAAATAAAAAAAAAATCTCTTTTGAAAAATACATGATAAAAAATAAATGAAGTTTATAAAAAATAATAAAAAGGAACCATCTCACAACTGTAAAAATAAATAAATAAATAATTTTTTCTTTTAAAAAAAAAAAAAATAAATGAATCTCGAGAGCTTCTTTAAATTATTTATATCTTTAACCATTAACCACCCACTCTGAAACATATGAAAATCCTTTAAACTCTTCCTGTGCTTCAGAATTTAGATGACTGTGAACAGGTGTAAGGACGGGCACTTCACGTGTAAATTCATCATCGAAATTCGATGTATCTGTTGGTGATGACTAAACATTTCGTAAAAAGAAATTGCGTATAAGGAATAATGTTGATAAAATATAATTGGAAAAAGAATCATTAAATTTACTTACAATTGAAGGATAGAAAGGCGGTGGGACTTTCTTCGCAAGCATATCATCCCAATTCACTCCTTTAAAGAAGGGGTGTCGCTTTATGTCTTCAGCATCTCCACGTCCTGATCCAAGACGCTTTTCAGGATCGCGAGTAAGCAACTAAGAAATAGGATTTGACAAGCCATTAGGTTTAATTATATCATAAAAACATCATGTTGTAACGGTACAATTCACAACTCACTTTCTGCAATATTGATACAGAATCTCTTGACATATTAATGGGATAGAGAATTTCATCCTCCAAAATAGCATCAAATATTTCGTCTTCGTCATCACCGCGAAATGGTGATTGTCCGAGGAGCATTTCATAAATTAAAACACCAAAAGCCCACCAATCAACTGCACGACCATATCGTTGTTCTAAAAGAATCTAATATAAATAATATTGAATTAAAGTTTAATTGTAAAAAAATTTAAATTCTATTAAAAATTCCCAATATACCTCAGGTGCCATAAATTCCGGTGTTCCACAGAATGTGTTGGTAGTATGACCCCACCACATTTCCTCTTTACAAAGACCATAATCAGCAATCTTAATGTGTCCATCCAATGTTAACAGTATGTTATCAAGCTTGAGATCTCTGTATATAATACCAACTTTATGCAAATATTCCAAAGCTAATAAGACCTCAGCAGCGTAAAACCTTGATAGAAATTTAGATGAAATTGTAACACCCCGTCGTGATGAAGCTATGTTTCAAAAAAAAAAAAAAGAAAAACTTACTGTGCTCGTCGATAAGTAAATTGTTCTCTTTGGATATGCAACATCAAGTCACCACCACTGACATATTCCATAACAAAGTAAATACGAGTTTCTGTTTGAAAGCACGAGTGTAAACCAAGCAAGAATGGGTGACGTTCTTGGTTGGCGGCTTGAAACACACGCTTTTCAGACCTCGTGCTTAAATTGATAATAAAATATCAATTGTTAGAACCATTTTGATGTACGTCATTTAAAATGATTAGATGTTGAAATAATGTACCTTTCTACTTCGTCATTTTCAATAATGAACTCTTTTTTAAGCACCTTGATAGCATAAAGTTGTTTTGTATATTTTTCCTCAGCAAGCATAACCTATAACGAAATTAACGTTAACAAAAAGTTTATTCATTAACTTATGAAATATACATCAACAAACCTTTCCGAAATTTCCTTTGCCCAAAACAGCAAGGAAATTGAAATCATCTAAACCAACTTTACGATTCTTTTGAATTATGGATTCGCTCTGATTATTCGGAGGAATTGGTGAAGGCAGGGTCTATTTCGAGTAATAAAATGGAAACACATTTAGACAAATCAATTTTTTTTTTTTTTTATAAAAAAATAAAAGGAAAGAAGGGTGATATTACTACTGGAAGCTGAACAGGAACGGGTTGTGGAGGAACGTTGGATACTTGTGGAGGAGATTTTAAAATAACCGGTGAAGGTGCCACCGGCATATGAGCTGGTTGATTATACTGAGGTTGCTGCTGTACAGGAGGTTGACTATAATTATTCTCCGAAACTCGAGGAAGGTATGGTTGTGGTTGTGGTTGTGGTTGTGGTTGTGGTGGAGGATATGTCGGCTGAACAAATGTTTGCGGTGATGGAGGCAATGGCTGAATTGGTGATTTCTGAGGACTTTTTTCATTGGTAATGGGTGGAAAACTATCGGCGTGGACTAATTTAATCCTTGTAGCATTTTGAATTTGATCGATCATTTCACTAGCACGCTTCATAGTCATTCCACAGAAATCGGGAACAAGATGAGTACATTTGGCGTGGCAAGTAATGTTACATTCTGTATTAATTAAATATTTTAAAAATAGTTATAATAAAAATTAACAATAAAAAATTATGAATCGTAAAACTATTATATACGGATCGTATTCATACGCACCAGAACATCTTTTGGCTCCCTTCTTTCCAAATGGAAGCAGATAACCACAATGACAGCACCAATTAGCTGTAATGTTAGTTATAACTTCAAAGCGATGCGGAATACGGTGATTGAGTTGTTTATAATCAGAATCCTAATGAAGGGAAATTTTTTAAATATCTTACATATTTAAAAATTCACCAAAAGATAAACATAAAAAGGTTACTTACCAATTCAGCATTAGATTTGGATATACATTTTGTAACAAATTTCAAGTAACATCTCTTATGACATGTTAATTTACAATCTAAAAGGGTATTTAAATTTTCAGTCAGTTTAAATATTTATTAAAAAAAAAAAAAAAGATTTGACATATATGCACACCTTCACATTGATAACCTTCATTAACGAATAATTCTTCGCAATAGGCACATTTCATAACCTGATAAAATATCTGCTGAATAAATTTATGTCCATTTTGTTCATGTATTTCGCCCTTTTTCTTACGAAAGGCACCTTGTCTACCAAGTTCTGCGGGTCTCTTACGAGCATTCTCCTTCACTGATTCATTCATTATAATTAATAATGAGTTAATATAATTAGTTTATCTCAAATATATAATAAGGGAGTAAATTTACCAAAGTTTAATTTGAGAAGTATTTGACCAGCTGGTTCAACTTCAAACCAAGCTTCAATGCCGTCATGCAAAACAGTCGTCCCAATTCCTTGTTGAGATTGAGCCTCAGAATATGGAACGCTATAAGCATCTCCATGCGCATTATTCATATTAGTCGTTGGAGAATTCTGCATTTCAAATTGAGCATTCGAAGCCGTGACCCATCCGGGACCACTTTCAGCTTCAATTCTTTTCTTTCGAAGCTCTTCTGCGATATCCGAGATTTTGATCCATAATAGACCAATAGGTACTTGGTGTTGTTCCGAAGTCTTATCATATAACGTTATTTCAACTTCACTTGCCTTTTCTATATGAAATTCGAAATCTTCATTCCATTTATCAGTGCGTGCAGCACGTGTTTTGGCTTTAGATGTACCATCAATATTGATCACTACGGTGGTGTCCGGAGGCTTGCCTTGTGTACGCAAGGGTGAATGAGGGACATTTCGAGCCTGTAGGATACGAATATCCAACTTTCCTGTAATAGGACGTCGCAATCCAGGTTTGGACCTAATTGTCCTTTCGGTTTCGTCCTCTACATTTCAATTAATAATTAAAGTATTGACAGATTAAAATTTGTATAAATTATAAATTGGAGTAAAAGTGTAATTTGATTAATAAGAATAGAATTCTATAAGAAATTCCGAGTTGTCATTCTTTCAGTTAAAGAGTCGGTTTTATATTAAATTAACAAAATCATATATTTCTGTCATCTGCCAGCATTTTATCAAGGTAACGAATGGCATAAGCTTTTTAAATCAATAACCATTCTTTTTTTTTTTTTTTTAAAAAAAAAAAAAAACTCACCGTCTTCTTCATCATCATCTTCACCAATATATAATTGTTTATATTTTTGTAAAGATCTCTTTAATATTGAAAGTTTCTCTTGACTTTCCACCGTTTTGACCGTCACTTCTTGAATGCTTTTCCTGTCTTTTGGATTTGATAAAGTTACGGCTTCCATCATCTTTTCCGAGCCTTCTTTAAGTTTCTGTTCGACACCGAGTTTAAACTCGAGTTCATGAAGTTTCAGAGATACCTTCAAATTCGTAATGGGCGTATCCGATTTGATGAGGTCTGTTGATAGTAGAAAGTATCCGGCGAACACACTTGATCAGTCGAATGGTTCGCAATTATAATTTTAGTGGCGATGCAAACAATTCAATTCATTGGCGCAAAAAAAAAGAAGAGAATTCGCCACGAAATCCCACCCAAATTGGACAATGCAGTCTTGCGGCCCACAGCAGGTATTGATTCTGGATCTTCACGAGTAATCTGTGGGTTCAAGGATACGGAGCGTGGTTGTGGTTGGTTATTATTAAAGCCACCAGTAGGTGGATATGTTGGGTAGGTAAATTGCGACGTTTGTGATGGTGATTGAAATCCACCACCACCATATTGACCCGGTTGACCCGAATGACCTGGCTGTTGTTGTTGTTGATTAAGATACTTTGAGCCGTGTCTCTGTTTCACGTGTAACTTTTCTAACTCTTTTGTTAAATAATCAATATGTCTAGATGCATCTACTATATTCTGTTCAGCCTGAGCCTGAACCATAGAGTTTTGAGTAGAGGATTTTACACGTACGGCAGCTAGCCGCATTTGTTCCTCCTTTTTAATTTTGTCATTGATAGATTTTATTCTGGAATCTAAATCCTAAAAAGTACAGAAAATAAAATATCATATATACATATATTATATTTCAGTTCATTCATCTATGACTCAAGATTTTGTTTATAATAACTTTGGGTTTGATATGCATAGAAAATTTATTAGCTTACCCCCGTAGCTTTCTCCCCCATGGTTAGCTTTATTTTTCAAGTACAAGGAAAAAAAAATTCAGTTGGAATAGAGACGAAAAAAAAAAAAAAAAATAATATGCAATAAAATTTATAGTAGATCATCAAAAATATGCCGGTAACATATAACAATTTTTTCCAACTTAACCTATAAGTTTCACAAGCAATCATTTTGTTACTTTATTCGGAATAACAATTCCATAAAACCTTTCCTACACCGAACGTTTTTTCCCTTGGCCCTATATTCTTATTTTGATTTTATCATTCAAATGATCAACTAAACAAATTTAGGTACCTTAATAGTCAATTATATAACGTTCATTTTTAATCATGTGAAATCTTTTTTAACGTTCCGATTTAGTGATTGTAGAATGATTTGCCTAAATGTTAAAAAAAATGAAATGAAATGAAATAAAATGCTTGTATTTATTTGGTAAGGTACTCAATTGATAAGGACAATAAGTAAAGATTGATTCAAAAAAAAAAAGTGGGACACAGGTGAACTTTTTTTGACGGGTAATTTTTAGATGGATGATTGTTGGTCAATGCAACTTTGTTTTTTTTGACCCATATTGTGAAACCGAATTAATTACTTGCCGATTTTACCCGCTATACCATACCAATAATTTGAATCAGATAACCAAAAAAAAAAAATCATACAAAAAAATGTCGCGTACGTTTCGCGTTTACTTTTTAATTAAAGTATTAAAGTTGCATGTCGAATTAACACGTGATATCTGTATCCTTATTGTTGTGGAGCAATGGTACATAATTATAAACTCCATCATATGATAAGTATAATATAATATATTACATTCGAGATTTTTTTTTTTTTAAAGAAAAAATTATCTAAATATTACCTGTTGCCTACCTTGAGAAGTTTCGAACTTTTAAATGCCAAGAAATTTCTCCCTTGTGTAAGCAATTGAAGCGTTAGATATCGAAATTAAAAACATAAATTTATCAAAATGCATCAGAATCAATAAACTTTTTAGATCGAATGATGATATATTTCTCATTGGATAATTTAATTGTTTGTTCAATATGAATACGATTTTGCAGTTTCCCTCTAAAAATTTCAATTTCAAATAATGGCTTATCCCAGTTATCCCCCCGGTAAAATAATTTTGTTGGATGAAATTGAAAATAACACGAAAAATTGGTTTGGTGAATATCTTCGAATTGCCGGGAAGTAAGTTTTTTATTCCACCACAAAAAAAAAAAAAAAAAAAAAACGCGTTTCCACGCGAACCTTTACACCCTTATTTAATTTTAGATTAATTTATCATAACACGACCAAGAATATAGCCGTAATTGAACAAAATATTAAATATACAAGCAATAAAGAGAAACAGCGCGAAGGACATTTACACGAAAAATTCAAAATAAAAAATTGCTTTTTAATTGTCGATACAAAGCTTGTCGAAGATGAACCATATAAAGAATGCAAAATTGCCGAATTCCTTGGTCTGTTGATAAATGATGTGAGTGTTAATTAAATAATACCTATTCTTAGTACTTTAATATTTAATTATTTTTAAATTAGAATGATTCTGTCTCGAAATTTTATCAACTTCCGCAAAAAATTCAAGATATTATCAATGCTGATATACAGAGGACAAACTATCCTTTATTGGAAGCGCGTATTTTTCGTAATGTCGATTTCATGGATATGGATCTTTATCAGGATGTGATCAATATGAGGAATAAATATGAACAATAATGATTTTATGATTTAAAAACCCGGGTTATAAATAAAACTTGACCCTTGAATATTAAATATATATTTATTAAGAAAATATTCCACTATTAAATATTGTTTTACTGCATAATATATATATCACTTCATTGATTGTCTGAGGTCAAACTGTTAATCTCATTTTGTAATTGTTCTATAAATAATGTTTTTGAGGAAAAAAAAAAAAAAGAATGGTTATAATTAATCAATTATTAAAAAAATAATAAAAAAAAGGAACAGCAATAGTTTAATTTCTACCTGCAAGAACATAATCCTCGCGACTTGCGGCCTCTTGTAATTTTGCTTCTAGTTCCTCAAGTCGGGTTGAATCATTGCCGATTAAATTGGTTGATTCGTTGAAATCTACTTGTTATATGATAAATATATCATTAAATTAAATATATATAAAATCAATAAAAAAAAAAAACAAATATTTACCTTTACTTTTCACAATAACTTCTTGAAAATTTTCCAATTGATTAGATTGGATTTTTGAATTCGAAAGTCCATATCTTGCTTTAATTTGATTGATGCAACATTCCAATCCTTTTATTTCATTACGTAATAAACTTACTAAAATTGGAAAGTTTCGCTGACTGACTCTACAAATTAAAGTGTTAATATGAAATTATAAAAGCTGAACCTAAAAACGTAAACCAATACGTACACATCATATCTTGATCGATGTTGTAAGAGTGACTCGTTTAATTCCTCAAACATGTCTGACCCTACGAGTATGAAACTATGTATTAATCATACCTCAAAATCAAAAAAAAGATAAATGCCATATAAATAAAACTAATCACGTTTATACCAGTATTTTTCTCAACTTCAATCAATTTTGAATGATATTCTTCCAATTTTTTTCTTGCCACCTTTAAATCTTCCTGATCCTGCTCCAAACTTGAGCATTTTGTTTTCAAAAATTTAGTGCGTTCGTCACGAGTTGATTGAAGATCTTTTATTCGAGTAGCAAAACGAGCTGCTGATTTGAAATCTCGTCCTAAATGCATATTTAAATATACAGATAAATTAAATAATCATGAAGTATGGTGAGATAATGAAACATATATTAAAACGTACCAACGGCTGCCAATATCTTTTGTTCTTCCAATGCAGGTATTTGTGTATCTATAGTTGATATATCTTGCTGAACATTCGAATAAGTTTGTTTATCGTGCATTACCTTAGAAGTTAACCTCCTAACTTCAACGTCGTATTTTTCCATTTGCGCTCGAATCCTACAAATATATTTTTTTAGTATCCAATTTGACAAAACTTAAATATATCGATAAAACGAGTAATTTTTATATACTCCGAAATCTCCTTTTCGCAATCCAAATTTCTTTGGGCACGACTCCTTAGATGTTCTATCAACTTTTCGATTTCAATGACTTCTTCACGATGAATCTTCGACATAGTTCCCATCTCTCCGATACGTTTTTCTAACAAAGTTAATTCTTCTTGTGATAATTCGCGTTGTTTTTGATAATTATCAAGCCTATTATGCAATTGATTATCCATTTCTTCTACGTGCCCCTTTTTATAAATAATAAAAATTGAATAAGGTGATATACAATGTTCAAAGCAATTATTTGAAATTCTTGAAACACTAACAGATTTAATCTCAAGTTCTCGTTTTCTATTATTCAACTCATTTTTCTCCCTCAACAAACCTTCCCTCTCGGAACTATATTCACTTGCGATACTTCCTATTTTGAGATCTATATCGCTAATTTGCTTGCTATAACCATTTTCATCAGCACGTAATCTTTCGATACGTAGCATTAGTTCTTTTATTTCCGCCTGAACAAAGATAAATTTTTATTTATATCATATCCAAGAAAACACAAAGTACAAACTTAAATTAAAGCGTACGCGTATGTCTTCTCGCTTTTTAGAGAGGGTTTCACGTTCAGATTTTTCATCCCGACAATGGTCTTCGATCCTCTCATTCAGTTCAGCCTCCGATTTACTCCAAAGATCCTCATCAAAAACAATTTCGCTGTATAATATGAGATTCACACTTTAGAACTTGATAATAGGTTTAATTATATTTATAAAGATAAAGGCGTCAAACCTTTTTGCTTTCTCAATTTCTTCCCTTACAGAAATTATTTTCTTAGTTTCCACATTACGTAATTTTTCGATATCGACGTCATATAATTTACAAGCTTCAATGTGTTCATTCTAATAATCCAATAAATTTAAATTAATGAGAATCAAAAGTAGAAAACCATCATGAAAAGTTCAAATTATCACCTTCTTTTTTTTCAGTTCTTTTTCTAAAATTCTACGAATATCTGCCTTACTTTTTAAATAATCAACTTGTTTTTCTCTCAATTCATTTAATGTTTGATCCAATCCAGGTAATACACCACGCAAATTATTAATTTTATGATGAATTTCTTGTATCTCATGTGTCAATTTATCTGCTTTAGCATAGTCCTCGTTGGATAACGCATTTGTTTGATTTATTTCAAGTGATTTAACTCTTTCAAAGTTCTATAAATTAAAAATGGTTAGACCTGGTAAAAAAAAAAAAATTTTTTAACAAAATATCCATACCTCAGCCAATTGTTCATAAATCAAGTTTTTCCTTTGGAAAACGTTTGATTGTATATTGAGAATTTGCTGCAATTCTTCTTCCATCCTGGATAATTCTAATTCCGTGTTTCCCATATTATTATTTGTTTCAACCTTTATATTGGTTTTCGATTCCATATTAATATCAAGCTCTTCAAGGGAGACTTTATTAGTTTTGGAAGAGATTCGACGCGATTTCATAGGATTCAAGGAATTCGAAAGATTTTGAGCTTGGAATGCTGGCTCTTGCTGTCCATTATTTGGTACAGAAAAGGATAACATATCTATAGTTTTGTTTTTTTTTTTTTTTAAAAAAAAAATTCTGATGTTATATAAATGTAATGACTTACTTTGTTTGAGTTAAAAATTATTATACTAACCTTCCGAAGATAATTGAAAAACAGTAGACTCATTTAAATTTGAGCGTGATTTTTCGAATAGAATGGAATTTTCGAATGGGGAACTTGAAACTCTTTCAGTCGCCCGTGGCGATTTTTTGCTTGCTTTGCATTAAGGAGATTTAGGAATGATGGGATTCTATTGCAAATCATATCGCGAGTTCGATTTTACAAAAAAAAAAAAAACTTACGGACAAATTTATTTTTTAATTTGCTTACCAGGTTTGGAAATAAAACCAAATGCCGAAGTTTGTGTTGTATTAGCAGTTGAAATCGATGGTGAAACGTCATTGGATTTTAATGGAATTTCGGAGAGATTACCAGCAATCGAATTTACTGTCAGAATATAAAAAAAAAGAAGAAAAGAATGTAGCATGTTATTCATTTTTATCCAGTTGAAAGAATTCTTTAATAATTCTTTGAAAGCTTCCTTATTATAAATCACACTAACCCATGCGCTTGTTATGAACTTGCCACTTATAAATAGTCTGTTCAGGAGAATTCGGAACGGACGAGACCCGCTGGTGTTGCGTATTTGAGCGACGAATATCTGTCTTTACATTTACATCAGCGAACAAATCGTATTCCTCTTGAAAACATTAATGTTTATTTAGCATATCAGATTATTATTAATTATAAATGGATATTGTAATTTACCTGTAGAGGAAGAGAATAAATCACCCATTTTTTATGCTTAAAAGACCCATTCATAAATTGGTGTTTTAATTTTATAGACTATTTTTCTAGAGAGCCGATCATTCCTAAATGGATAAATTACAAGATTATTACAAGATTATATAAGTAGTATATTAATCAACCAGTTTTAAACCTATACCGTTGATAACATTTCGAACATCTGGAATAAACCACATTTTTTGTATCACTGAGCTTACTAATTATTAATACGGTTTTGTAAAATGCCTCACATTTTAAAATCAAATATAAGAAAAGATAGTTTTAAGCAACACAGTTCTGCTAGCAACCTCACATTTCTGAACAAAAATCACATTTTTAATGACCCTGGATCAAAACAAGATTACTTACCAAACTGCAAATAAAATCAAAGAGATGTATGACGTCTCAACTGAAAAATTGCGAAGATGGGCAGACTCTGGAAGAATTTCAATTGTCAGGATACCTGGTGGAAAACAACTCTATTTAATTTCAGACATACTTGAAGACAACCAGACACAATTCACGTAAAAGGCCAAGATCTGCTACGCCAGAATCAATTCAGAGCATCAATGAGGTGATCTTAAATGACAGATTGCAACTCTCAGATAGCATTACACGAAATGATATTGGCTCAGTTTGTTATCCTTCTGGAATAAATATACGCAGAAGGAATTAAAAAAGTGGTTAACCAAAAGGTTTGAGTTTAATTAATTAATTATTTGCTTTGATTTATTTATTTAATTTTTTTATTTTACTAACTTTTCTATTAGGATCAATTGTGCTGTTTCAGATCTGAGCTTATGGAATGGTTTTTTGAGAAGAATAGTACTCAACTCATGATACTCAGTACAGATATTAGTGATAAAAGTAATAAAGCTAAAAAACTTGCAGAAGACTTGCTTGTAATCATCACAGTACTTGTAGTATAACATAATGGATTATATTTAATTGCAAATCACAGAAGAAAAAGAAATGTTGCATAAGAGATTTAAGAGTTCCAAAAAGGAAATGAAAAACTTATAACAGGCAAAAAACTTCAATAATATCAAACTCAAATAGGTCTTAGAAATTTTTTATGATATTTATGATAAAGTAATAAATAACTTGCTTAAAGAATATTTTTTTTAATTTTGTTATTGATCATAAAAATTTCAAGATGAAGTTTCATTTCAAAAAGGATTCTTAACAGTCTATCACAATCTTATTAAAGCATTAGGATAAATCTCATGATGAATATTCATTTCTTCTTAAAATTAAGTCATTAGAACCTCTTTCAAAAAAACTTAAAAATGAAGTCACCTTATTATAAATAGCTTGGTGAATATT